AATGACTTCGTGTCCCTCGAATCTTGAGTCTTCCATATTCACTTTGATGCTTTATGGATCCTGATGGCCGATTCCAGTAATTCAATGACTTTCTGCCTAATCTCATTAAAAAATGACATGTAGTCAGTGGATACAACCGAACTCTCCACCCTGTATGTAGCAATGCGGCAATTGAATGCATTCGTTATAATTTGAACACCTTCAGACAATTGAACACATGCATTATTTTTATACTTGTTTCATAGGAATTGTCACATTAAAACAATTGCAAGTATAGATAGGTGTTGCATTGTCCACTCTCATCTGTTCCACTGAAGACAACTCTGGAGTTGATGCCGACGAAGATTATCACTACGAGTGAAAGATGTATACAGTCACAGGAATACATTTTCTATGATACGTTCTCACTAACTCACTTGATGTAAACTGACATAACCAACACTCGTTCGCTTCTTAAATACAGTCTGATCGGGTCCGTCAAGACGTCATAGCCAACCCCACCTCTCAGCTACATGCGCCAACCCAACCTCCCAACTGGACACGTTAACAGATGTCGATACAGACAGTGGTTGTTGCGCTCTCGTAGAGGGCAGACGTTAACACAGTCTTCGGCCGCCTGCGCGTCACCATCGACAGCAAGGCTAGAGCGATGCGTTACGTCACAGCCATCACCGCATCGAGAGTGAACATCTCGCTCTCCTACCGTTAAACGGTTGCTGCTGTGACGTCACACTACTACTAACTTGGTGGGCTCACACCGATGGAACATTCATTACTTGAAGGATCTTTGAAGTATGCAGACGTATGTTTGTACATAGACAAGCACATGATGAAACCCTGTACCGTGCATTCTCCCACACACACACACACACACCAACCAACCAAATGTAATTACGTCATTATGTCACACACACACAAAATCTCATATGAATAAAAACATCTGAACGATCCATGCACCAGACACTTCAAGGTCTCATCGCTTTTATGTTACTAAACAACGAAAAAAAAGCAATTAATACGTCATAGTGGTGGAGGGAGGCCCAGAAACGGCTGTAATCTGCTACTATTTATGTATTTCACTTAGATAAATTCTGCGATTTTAACTATATTGTACCTTCATTTATGACTTATGCTATAGACTGTAGTATTTATTGCATCAATAAATTGTCGGTATTGTACACATCTGAAGAAGATATATAATAGTTTTAGTGGAAGGAAGTGCGAATTCACATCTAAATTTCGGGAGAGTAAATTCTTGATTTCTGAGGGATAATTTTTAGAGGAAGAAAGATTATAATGAATCACCAAAGAACCCATTGCTGGAAATGGTTTCTGAAGTGAGAAGTACACTCAAGAAGTTCCTTTAATATACGATCTAACTATAATTCACCTACATTCCCTACTTATGGCTAACCAAACAGTTTGAAATTTTCTGAATCTCACAATTTTGTTTGAATTTTGTTAATTTACATGAACTCAGATAAAATTGAAGAGATGAAGTTTCGAAAGTTCACAAAACCGCGACACGTGTTTTGCTATACAATAGCATTTTCGGGCGTCACAATACTGTAAAAACTAATTCTGTTTCGTGCTTTCGCAGTAATTTGAATCACCGTGACTATTACTACCTGACAAAATTCTACATTATGAATTCATTACTTGAACTATTCCTAGGTACAACTCATAAAACTGGAGAATAATGAATACAATTTTTACCTATTCCTCGTTGAAAACTAAATTCAATGATAAGGAACAATTTAAATATATTTGATCATTGAGCAATAATCTCGAATTCATACATCTATTGATATCCAAACATTCCAAAAGGTTGAGTTTTGAACATTTCTTTTCGAAATGGAATACGTCATAATCGTGATTGAACTCATGCTCCTCTGTCAAAAACTGGTTCGCTGTTGGATTGGTCTTCCCATTCAAAAAACAACTTCTATTCTCTTTCATTCCTCTGGAAAAAGTTTTTTCGGTTTGTCCGGTATAAAATATTGGACAAGAACCACAAATCAACTTGAATACTTCGTATCTATCTAACACTTTTTACCTTTTTGATGAAATCACTCAAATTATTATTTGTTATTTAGGCTACGTCCAATTCTTTGCTTTAAAATAAAACGAACGATATCATTGGTAGGATCATCAAAGTAACTTAGAGTAATGTAATGTTCAGTATCTTGCTCTGAAACTGGATAGACCTGATTCCGAGATTGTTTCTGTAATTTTTTAGAAGAAATCAAGTCAATAATATCCATTTCGTAACCGTTGTTGACAGAAAAATGTTTCTTCATAAAAATCAGTGTTCTTTGAAAAATTGCTTTCTCAAAGTGGAGTCATCAGTATACTTTCAATAGTATGATTTACAGTCTATAAAATATTCGACCGACAGAAAACAATCTTCAATAATAACTGTTTTTCATAAAACATATTGCTGTCAACAAAGGTTACGAGATGGAAATTATCGACTCAATTTTTCTTGAAAATTGCAGAAACAAGTCCTGAACCAGGTCTATCCAGTTTCAAAGAATGATACTGAACATTATGTATTTCACTTACTTTGGTGATTGTAATAACATCGCTCTTTTTTTATAAAGCAAAGAATTTGACGTAACCTACAGAACAAATTATAATTTGAAAAAATTCTCTGTCGCTCTCATAGTCTTCTAACGAACGCACATGAGCGGGACCATAACCGAATTCAGAAACCTTTTCCTACATTTGACAAGCTCTAGTAGTAGTGGTTATATTGATCCAAACTACTATAAAAGGATATCACAGAATTGGTTCAAACAGTGTTGTGATGTCTGAAAATGATATTGTACTCGTATAGCGAAACACGTGTCGCGGTTTTGTGAACTGTCAAGTGGAAATCTCATATTAAAGTGTTGTTTTGCATACGTTATTTTCAAGTTTATTGTTTTTTCGTATGAAACACGATACACTAACGAATTTTCAAAAAGTTGAAGCTGAAAGTAGCGAAAAGTCAGAGAGAAATTCCAAAAATCCACGACCTTTGAACCCGAAAAAAAGTGACTTCTTGTTCACTGTTAAGTAACTTCAAAGAAAATATGTGAAATTAAAAGTCGAGAATATATGAAATAAGCTGTTCAAACTGTTACAAAAAAAGGTTACGGTATGCGGGATATTGAAACCCGTTTCAAAGAACATGTAACAAATATTCGATTTCGGAGACCAGAGAAATCTAGAGTCGCTCAACACTCCTTGGATATTGACCATAGAATAAATAAAAACTTATAATGACAAAAAATTTATGGATGCTTTTGAGAGCTTGGAAATAGCTAAGTGTGGTAGCAGAACTATGAACAGTGACGAAGTTCCCATTCCAAACAGTCTATGGTTCATTTTCATGTGATTTGATCTGTTGAAATCGGCGGCAACTTCCCCGAGAAAATTTCCAGTGAAGTTTCACCCGAAATGGATGTGTATCTGAAAGTGAAAGTACCCTATTATAAATAAATAGAGACCAGTTTTAGAGTTAGGAATTAGTGTAATTCATCTCATGAAGACGCCAACTTGGTTGGTAAAACACACGTCGAGAAGAACGTTGCAGTTCTGGTGTTTGGGAATAGTGTCATGGTTTTATAAACTGTCAGGTGAAAATTTCGAAATGAAATATTATTTACATAATTTATCATAGATTCTCATCAAGTATCGGTCAATTCCATCACATATTATTGGACTGCACTCAAAACCTTTGTTTTTATTTGTTCACCTAGAATCGTAAGAAATTTGAGAAATTTTCAATCCATCCCTGTTCATTACCGCCGTTGCAACTTCAAACTGATCACCGACGCCGTCCAGGGCAAATCTTCAGATGCGCAAGGCAAACACAAATCAATACCGGGCCTCACATTCGGTTTTCCCAGACAAGCATGTGCTTCTGGATGTCAGAATGAAGTTCTATCGGTGTACTTGTGTTTTAGTGACTCGAAAAAACACTAGGAAAGCTTCCCCGTGGTCGCTCGTTCCTTGAAAAGCGATGCTTCGAGATCATGGTGCCGCCTCCATCGGCCAAGGGCGACCTGGCGCTGGTCGGGAAGTGGCTAGAAGACAATGCGGAGACGGTAGAAAGGTGGGTGGCTGGTTTGATGACTTGGGCTGAAGATATGAGAGATTATGAAATCATAATATTTTGTAATTTCACAAACAGTTGCTGCTCTATCTGTAGTCACTTATGCAAGACATTTCATACACAATGCAAGACATGGTTCTTGCATTGTGTATGAAAATGAATCACTCGGTTATTTTGTAGTTTTCTGTAAAATATTGATGTGAATGAGAATATGCGCCATTATTCCTCATTTTTTTAAAGAATGTTTTTTCTGCTATCGCGCCTGCCATTATTTCGTATATTTTGTAATAAAGAACTGAAATATTCAAATTGATTCCCTGAAATTTTATGAGTATTATGCTCTTGAAAAATTGAAAAAAAAGGTATCCCTTTTGTTGTCATTCCAGTTTTTTTGAGAGACACTTCGAATTTGGATGAAAATGACTTTATGATTGGAAATACGTTCACATTTTCAAAATAACTGAATTCAACGACCAACGGGGTATTGTCATTTGTTTTATAATTTCGGACAAAGATAACTTGGTTATTTCAAATAGAACACCCAAGACACTTGCCTTATCAGCTCTTCAGTAGCAAAAACGGATAACATTATGAAAAAAAACACTCAATTCGTTCATAACATTACGCCATAGGAATCTTGTTTGAATTGAAAGGGTATATTTTTGGGAGAGATTAATTTTTGAGAAAAAGTTTTTGGCTATCTGCTTTTCCATCTTGGTACAAAAATTAGGAAATATTCCGAAGAAAAAAAAAGGAACGAATCAATTTTAAAAACCTACTCTATACAAAGATTTGTGAATTATGGAAGATTCCCACATTTTCTGTATTAAGATGGAGAAGTAGAAATCCGAAAACTTTCTTTCCCAACAAAAATAATGAAGTACCTACTAGGAACCGTTGATTATAATTTATCCTTATCCACCTCACGAAGATGGTAGATTTCGATGCAAACGTTACCATAAGATGCTTAAACACTGATATTTTTATCATAATGCTTGGGTACGATTAATGCTATTCAAAACGATTTGAAAATTATAATACACATTGGTTCCGGTAATTCCCAAAGTTTCGTTAATATCATGAAATTATATGAAAAATTGTGAACCGATTTGTGCTCTGCATTGACCGGGTTCCATATGCCCTCATAGGCTACCATATCAATCCTGCATTTCAAATAAAAGAAAAAAATAAGCCTTCAAATGGTTGCGAAAATCTCAGGCTTATATGAAAGCATTGGGTAATATTACAAATAATCCGAGTTGTAGATGAAATACGTTCTTCATAACGACTGAATGATTTGTTCTTCACTTGTAAGCATTCAAAAATATGAACGATGTCAAAGCCACACGATGTTGATTTAATAAATATCATCAAATGATTGACACCGATATACTAAAGTGGAAAAACCGTATCGACGGGGCGAACTTCCCATCATGTAAATCCGAGTTACCCCAGCATTTAATGTATTTTCATTTTCGAAAGACATCAAGTACCCCCATCAATCATCAGTATCAAAAAAAATTAAAAAAAAAATAACTATGGTTGTTCGGATAATTGTAGTCATTGGTGGAGTGATGCCCTCTCTACTCTCGAATCTCAAAATCATGTTGGCTTACCGCACAAATGCAGAAATCTTAGCCGAACAAATGCAGCTCATTACTCACAGCATATGATTTTCGGAACCTAACGATCATTTACCGACGGTGTGAAAAGTGGTCATTGGTATTGGTTGATGATGCAGGTGCGACCTCTCGTTTGTGTCAAAGCTTCGGGGACAGGGTTCGACCAGCTTACTCTTTGGGGGAAAAATGAGATTAATATTTATCTTCAATATTTTTCTCAACTGGAATGGATTTCAGTTGAGGAAGAGGTTAACTACTCAGTGCAATCATTCTGATTTTGACTTATATTTTCAAAAATATTTAATAAAATCTAATTCAACAATGGATATTCGATCAAACCGGTTTCTAATTCTGATTACGACATATGTTTCGAAACTATTCTGGAAGAACTCACTTCGCTGAGATACTTTGTTGGGAAAGAAACACAAAATCAATCAGATGAAGCCTTTAAGTGAGTCCGTCCAACAATTTACTCAAGTAACACTTTATTGTGAGATTACAAAAATATAATAACTTTTTCATACTGAAGTATGGAAAGTATTGAAAGTGATTTTGTTGTTCTTTGCCTAATTGTATATGTTATATAGGGGTCAAAAACTGTTACGTTTTTCATAGTGAAATCCTGTAAATTTGAAGTAATGGATATTTTCCAGTAGGGGCAAGTGTTGATCATTTATTTTTGTCTATAATACGATATCATCTGTGATTGATGATAACTGACGATGGTCCTCGGTAAAAATATCCTTTTGATACGGACAAAATTTACTAATTTTTTATTGAGAGCGTCTTCATGTGATTGAATTATTTGAACACAAATTATATACGTTGACGATTTCAGGTGGTTGNATAATAAATAAGGTAAAATGGACAATCTTAATGTACTAATATATAATATGAGGTACAATTGATAAAAACTTCATTTCCAATATTTTTTTGTTAACAAAATCAGAAATCACTTGTCTTGGCTGTCTGCATATAAATTGCCCCAATGACTTTTTGAAGTGGTGAAATATATTATTGTTATTTATTGTATTGGAAAGAGTATTGAATAATTTTGGAGATAGGAAAGTATATGTATGCTGTGAAAGTGATTTTTGTGTTAATGGAATTACATGATGAATTTTTTTTCGGGTGTTATAATTGTGTGACGGTGGTACGTTAAAATCACATTGAAATAAAAGAGTTGACAAATGTCAAAAACACCGGCTTCACGAAGCAAATTGTCTGTAGGAAAGCGTGAACTTTTCGAATGTATCAATTTTAGAAACTTGGGATATGGATATATGCATATATGGATATATATAGCGTAAATGACTTTCTACTAGCGCGAGGTAAAACATTTTTGGGTGATGGGTGGAGAATATGTCTCTTAAGGTTTTGAATTTGTGTAGAATACTTCGCAGCTTTTTGAAAATGAAGTTTATGTGCTCATTCCATTTAAGATATGAATCAATAATTACCCCTGAATCCTTTACCTTATTTTCAAGACTAATCAAGTGTTGACCACTCATGAAAAGGGTGGTTTATTCGTGCTATTGCAGCTGAATGGCATATACTGGGTTTTCTCGAAAGTTATGATTAATAGCTTATATTCAAGAAAGTTTTTTATTGTATCAAAGTCTCATTCTACGGTATGTTGTAATCCTTATCAATTATTTGCGTTATAAAATATTGTTTGTTTGAAGGTGATATACAATGTTTCATGGTGCATTTCATTAGTTCGGACTTCCATTTTCTGATATGATATAAATTGATTTGAAATTTCTGAAATAATCTGTAAAAATATTGTTTGTCGTCTGCAATTCCTGAAATGTTTCCGTTGGTTTCTAGAAAGAATAAGTCATTTATGTACAGATTGGATAGAGTAGGCCCAATAACCGTACTCTGAGGTATCCCAGTATCAATATACTTCTCACTGTTTATAATTTCATCTATTCTCACCGTTTGTTCTGTTCGTCTGATAACTCCTGAATAGATTGAAGGGAGTACCCTTTATGCCATTATCTTCCACTGTTTGTAGAAGCAATGTGTGGTCGACGGTGTCATAGGCTTTCGATAGGTCTATTTAATATATTGAATGTGAGGTCTTGTCTTGTCTTTATGACTGTTGAATTTATATATGTTCAAGTTTTCCCAAATGTCCATGCGGTTTCCCTTGTTGACTTGTTTTATGAGTTTTATGTTCTCTGGTGGGGGGAAATTATGTTTGTTTTGTATGGCGTGTGTTGCGAGGTTTGATTTATATACTATTGGATTTATGTATGTCTTTTTGTGCTCATTGTACCTTTGGATTAGTTTTTTCTTGGTTTGGCCGTTATAGAATTTGTTGCAGTCCGAGCATACTGTATATCCCGTTTTGGTCTGATTTGGTGTCCTACGTACGTGAATGCTGTCCATCGTTGTGTTGTTTTGTCTGTTGGGGTGGCTTGATCCTTGTTCTGTATTTTTTATTTGATTCTGTTTTCTAGTTTATCTATTGTCTTTTGGGTGTATCCGTTTCCCCCCCACCAGAGAACATAAAACTCATAAAACAAGTCAACAAGGGAAACCGCATAGACATTTGGGAAAACTTGAACATCCATAAATTCAACAGTCATAAATCACTTATCGAGGAACAAGTACAAATCAAAACACAACAATACCTCACATTCAATATATTGAACAAAACCATACACATTCCTAGAGAAGATCTAACACAAAGAAGAGTACCTGATGCAGTACAAATACAGGCAAATTTACTTAAAGTATCTGACATAAAAACTTGGCAAGTTGACTTGGGTGTCGTTTCGACGTTTCGGCTCCTGCTTTGGAGCCATTCTCAAGAATCACTTAGATTTGTACTTACATGACTCGACTACGAGATCATAATCTCCCTTGTCCCCAAGTCTCGTTAGTAGTTCTATGTGTGCTGTGTTCCACTCTAAGTTGGTACTGGTCACTCTGTTGTTCGGGGCCCATATTTATGTTATTGTAGCAGGTATCTGGTTTGCCTGACCGGGTACCTGAGTTATTTTCAGGTATCTTGCGTGAAATCAATGTTCTCCATGTTTGTGGTAGTCTCTGCGAATCATTTCGCTTGTTAAGGCAGTTGGGGCATTTTTCAATTTCGATTGCTTCCCGAATTATCCTGGACTGAAGATTTTTTTCCGTAGCAATGTCTTGGTGTTTTCGAAGCTCATTGTGTGGCCTGTTTCCTGGTGGTGTTTGAAGAGAGATTATGCTGGATCTGATTTGCGAACCGTTAGTTCATAGGCTCTGTTGGAAATTCTTGTATTGCTCTGGCCGATGTAAGTTCTGGGGCAGTTTGAACATTATATTTCGTATATGCCCTGTGCTTCATTGGGTATCGTGTCCTGGGGTGTTCTAAACA